TAATATAATTAGTACCAATTAACAAAAGTTCAGAGACAATAGATCCTATCAAACTAACTGGATATCCTTATTGGGTGAGATAAAAACTTTGGTTGCAACTAAAAGTATTGATGTAATACACCTAGACTTCTGTAAGGCATATGACATGCTTCAGCACAACATTTTGACTAGAAAACTTGAAAGTTACAAAATAAACACAGCATACATTAAATAGATTAAAAACTGTGATTGTAAATGGGGAACCATGGTCGAGTTGATTTCTTAATAGGGGGTTCCCACAAGGATTGGTTCTTGACTCTGTTGTATTTAACATTTTTATCAATGACCTGGAAGAGAATATAAAATCATAACTGATAAAGTTTGCAGTTGCCACAAAGTTTGGGGATGGTGGTAACTAATGAATTGTCAGTAGATTCAGGCTCCATCACTGGGAGTCTGGGAAGTTTTCCCAGCCCTGGCTGGAGGGCAATTTCCTGTTCCACAAAGAGGGGAAGTTCCATTCCCAACTCCTGTGCCTTGAAATTAGACCCTATCTCACCCTACACCCCATATTCAGCACAGTGGGGTGATTATAATATGATTAGGACATAATTATGATGCATTTTGTGCAAGATACATCATGTTTGGTGTCATTGGAAAACTTATGATTTGTTGAATATGATTATCCTATGTGTGTGCATGGATCATGTTTGTATCAGAAGTTATGAATATTGATTATGTATCTGTATTTCAAATGTGCTTACTCTGGGTAACACCCACAACTAGCCTTTCAGGTACAACAGTGAAGAAGCCAGACAGTGCTGATGATTCATCAACAAAGACAATGACGTGGAAGAGCTTAGCCTTCCTGTGAATGTGTCAGCCAGCCTATGAGTCATGGCTACTATGACTCAGCAGGGCATGCTAGGCCATGTGACCAGACCACATGTCACTGAACTCCATTTTGGTACCTGTATTTTTCCACTAACTGGACTGGGAACTGAGTTTGGAAGAAAGGGTTCCCGCCATATGGAAAAGCTACCTAAGGTGGGGTGTGACATCATCGCTTGGCCTCATTCCCCTGTGATGGGTTGGATCACAGAAACCCCCTTGGTAGCTGCCACCTAATGTACCAAGACTACCTTTGCTCCTGTTTTCCCTGCCAGCTCAGGACTCCAGCACCCTGTCTTGCTGAGCCAGACACACCCGTCTCCTCCAACAAAGACCCAGGGTCTGAATTACTTGCCCCAAGCTGCAAGTTTACCTGAAAACAGCTCACAGAAGTGTGCTTGTCTTTAGCACTCAGATCCCGAACTCCCAATGGGGTCTAAACCCAAATAAATCTGTTTTACCCTGTATAAAGCTTATGTAGAGTAAACTCATGAATTGTTCGCCCTCTATAACACTGATAGAGAGATATGCATGGCTGTTTGCTCCCTCAGGTATTAATACATACTCTGAGTTAATTAATAAGTAAAAAGTGATTTTATTATATACAGAAAGTAGGATTTAAGTGGTTCCAAGTAGTAACAGACAGAACAAAGTAAGTCACCAAGCAAAATAAAATAAAATGTGCACATCTATGTCTAATCAAACTGAATACAGATAATCTCACCCTCAGAGATGCTTCAGTATGTTTTTTTTTCCAGACTGGACACCTTCCAGGCCTGGGCACAATTCTTTCCCCTGGTACAGCTCTTGTTCCAGCTTAGGTGGTGGCTAGGGGATTCTTCATGATGGCTCCTCTCCCCCTCTTTGGGCTGTTCCACCCCTTTATATATATCTTTTGCATAAGGCAGGAACCCTTTGTCCCTCTGGGTTTCCGCACCCCCCTCACTGGAAAAGCACCAGGTTAAAGATGGATTCCAGTTCAGGTGACATGATTACGTGTCACTGCAAGACTTCATTACCCACTTGCCAGCATCCACATATACAGGAAGACTCACAGGTAAAACACAGCTATCTGTAGACAATGGTCCTGGTGAATGGGAGTCATCAAGATTCCAAACCACCATTAATGGCCCACACGTTGCATAATTACAATAGGCCCTCAGAGTTGTATTTAATATTTCTAGTTTTAGATACAAGATTGGTACATTTATACAAATAGGATGATCACACTCAGTAGATTATAAGCTTTGTAATGATACCTTACAAGAGACCTTTTGCATGAAGCATATCCCAGTTACATCATGTTCACTTATCATATTTTTATAAAATCATATAGACTGCACAACGTCACATCCCCACACAAGAGAACTCCTGAAAGCACCTGAGGAACAAAGACTGAACTAGGGGAAGTGTTGGTCCCAGGGTAAAGGGATTTCTAGCTTGTGTATGGAAACTCGGGGGACTGCGTCTATCATAAGTCAGGGTGAGAAATTGCTAATTCATATTCTATCCATCTAGTATGTTATGCTTAGTTTGAGTTTTTGATTATTTGCTAATTTATCTGCTTTGATCTGTTTACGATCACTCAACGTTGGGAAATTGGCTGTTGTCTTCTATCTGTCCTTGAGTGGCTTAGGTAAAGCACTCAGGTAGCTTAGTTGGGTGTATGGCGCCACCTGCTGTCCTGTGGGTGATAACAGGGCCTGGGGAGGCTGGCTGAATCTCAAGCAAAGCAGTGTGAGAAGGGCCAGCCCAGCTTCAGGGTTAGAGGGCACAGTAGTTCCCAGAAACCCCCCAGACTGCACTCCAGGGGTGACAACCCATCACACCCTAGATTACACAAGTCTCAGCAGGTTTGTCACATCCTGTCCCCTCCCTTTTTCCACCCTAGATATTTCCTGCCTCCCGCCACCTCTAGCAGCTCCCACCCTCCTTTGCATTTATTGCTCCTCTCCCTCCAAACAGAACCCACCACCATCTCTCTGATAATCCCTTACCTGAGCCAGCTCCATTGAAGCCATTTCCTTCCCCCTGGGAGAATGGGATGATCTGGAGTGAAACCTGAACGTTATTCTGTAACCTACCAGGGCGAGAAGGGCAATGTGATAGAATTCAAAGGGGTTTTTTGTCCATTCCACATGCCGATTCCCCTCAGGATTTCCCCTGCTAATGGATATTCTAGGTTCTGCCACACTGTGAAGCACAGAATGACCTTATTCCAGTACAGACCTAGCCCCCTCGCACCAGGGTGTAACCCTCTGAGACATGGTGAAACCCTCCCAGTAGCAGAGTCTCTCTGTTACACTTATAAAGTTTGCGGACGAGACCAAGCAGGGAGGGGTTGCAAGTGCTCTGGAGGATAGAATTAAAGTTCAAAATGATCTGGACTAACTGGAGAAATGGTCTGAAGTCAATAGGATGAAATTCAATAAGGACAAATCCAAAGTACTCCTCTTAGGAAGGAACAATCAGTTGCACATGTCACCGAAATTTCGGGTCCACCTAGCTGAGAGCCAATAACAGCCAGACTGGGATAAGGAAGAGTTGCTTTATTCTGCAGAAGAAAGGAGAGCTTTGCACCTTGGTACAAAAACTCTGTCTTACACACATTTTACAGATCCTTTATACACATTCAGACAAAGGCCCTTGCCGTGTTACCACTTGATTGGTGGTTGTCAGACCCGTGCTTTTGCTATCTGGTCAGTGAAAACAGGCTTGGGGCTAGCTCCAACTACCGTAAGGCCTTGAAAGGGAAGACAGTTGAAAAGTTCAGGCTACTGTGTACTTGAGGTGTCTGCTTCCCCCTAATGGCCGCTGGCTGACATAACAGCTGCTAGCTGTTAAGGGAGGTCACTAGTAACTTTTACACACACATACAAAACAGGAAATGACTGCCAAGGAAGGAGTACTGTGGAACGGGATCTGGGGGTCATAGTGGATCACAAGCTAAATATGAGTCAACAGTGTTACACTGTTGCAAAAAAAGCAGGTATAATTCTGGGATGTATTAGCAGGAGTATTGTAAGCAAGACACAAGAAGTAATTCTTCCGCTCTACTCCGCGCTGATTAGGCCTCAACTGGAGTAGTGTGTCCAGTTCTGGGTGCCACGTTTTAGGAAAGATGTGGACAAATTGGAGAAAGTCCAGCGAAGAGCAACAAAAATGATTAAAAGTCTAGAAAATAGGACCCATGAGGGAAGACTGAAAAAATTACATTTGTTTAGTCTGGAGAAGAGAAGACTGATAGGGGACATAATCAGTTTTCAAGTATTTTAAGGAGGAGGGAGAAAAATTGTTTTTCTTAACCTCTGAGGATAGGACAAGAAGCAATGGGCTTAAATTGCAGCAAGGGAGATTTAGGTCGGACAGTAGGAAAAACTTCCTAACTGTCAGAGTGGTTAAGCAGTGGAATAAATCGCCTAGGGAGGTTGTGGAATCTCCATCATTGGGGATTTTTAAGAGCAGGCTGGACAAACACCTCTCAGGGATGGTCTATATCGGGGTGGCCAACATGTGGCTCTTTAGAATTTAATATGCGGCTCCTTGAATAGGCACCAACTTTCAAATATGCTGGGCGTGCTCACTGCTCAACTACAGGCTCTGCCCCCACTCCACCCCTTCCCACTCCCTCCCCTGAGCCCGCAGTGCCCTCACTCCATTCCCACCCACCCCCGAGTGTCTTGCATACATGAACAGCTGATCGGGAGGTGTGGGGAGGTAGGGGGAGGTGCTGATTAGTGGGCTGCTTGTGGGTGGGAGGCGCTGGGAGCGGGGGGTGGGACCTGATGGAGGGCAGCTGACATATTACTGTGACTCTTTGGCAATGTACATTGGTAAATTCTGGCTCCTTCTCAGGCTCAGGTTGGCCACTCCTTTTTTTAAGCAACTAACAAAATCATCCAAAGCCCAAGATTTGGTGGTGATGGGGGACTTCAACTATCCGGATATATGTTGGGAAAACAACACAGCGGGGCACAGACGGATAGAAGGGAGAACAGCAAAAAGAGACAATGGATTTCAGGAAGGCGGATTTTGGTAAGCTCAGGGAGCT